CATGCCTGTAATCCCAACACTTTGCCAGACCAAAGTGAGTGTGGATCACCTGAGGTCCGCAATTCGAGACCAGCCTGGCCAACATGGTGAAACCCTGTCTTTACTGAAACTACAAAAATTAGCCGGGCAGGTGGCACGTGTCTGTCATCTCAGCCGCTCTGGAGGCTCAGGCAGGAGAATGGCTTGAACGCGGGAGGCAGAGGTTGCAGTGAACAGAGACTGTGCCACTGTACTCCAGCCTCGGTGATGGACTGAGACTGCATCTAAAAAAAAATAAGTATCCATTTTATTATAATTAAGCCTGGAAAACAAAACTTTGATTTTGACTTCTCAGTTTTTATGTTATTCTGAGTTTGGTAACCAAAAGAAAACTCATAGTGTGTTTGAATACTTAAAATTTAGGGAATATCAAGCAAATCTAAATATTTTATTAATTTTTTCTTTAATAAATTAAAAGTACAAATATTTTTATTAACGGTGGTCATTGCAAGATATTCAGATAAAAGACATCTTAGCACTGAAATGTCCTTTAATGTCATTTTTTTAAAAAAGATATAAGACATCTAAATAGCTTGAAGACCTTGGACTTTGGAGCTGAATTTCATTTAATTAATTATTTATTAATTTCTGTTTGTTAATTAATTTTTTAATTTGTTGGAGACAGAGTCTCACTCTCTTCCCCAAGCTGCAGCACAGGATCTCTGCTCAAGTTTCCCTCAACTGCCTGGGCTCCAGCAATTCTCCCACCTCAGCCCCCCAAGTAGCTGAGACTGCGGGTGTACACCACCGAAGTCCACTAATTTTTGTGTTTTGTTTTGTTTTGAAACTGAGTTTTGCTCTTGTTGTCCAGGCTGGAGTGCGACGTCGCCATCTTGGCTAACCACAACCCCTGCCTCCCAGGTTTAACCAATTCTCCTGCCTCAGCCTCCCGAGTAGCTGGGATTACAGACACCTGCCAGCTTGCCCAGTTAATTTTTGTATTTTCAGTAGAGAGAGGGTTTTACCCTGTTGTTCAGGCTGGTCTTGAACTCCTGACCTCAGGCCATCCAATCACCTCAGCCTCCCAAAGTGCTGGGATTACAGGTATGAGCCACCTTGCCCAGCCAATTTTTGTATTTTAGGTAGAGACGTGTTTTACCATGTTAACCAGCCTGGTCTCAAACTTCTGATATCACATGATGTGTCCACCACGGACTCTCAAAGCGTTGGGATTACATGTGCGAGCCACCGCACCCAGCCTGGGACTGAATTTTTGAAAAAAGAAATCAGAAATTACATTTTAGACTAGAGTACTGTTGGTTGAAATGTATGAATTTGGGTTGTATTTTGAAGACAGCCATCAGGATTTCTTATTTCTAGATTTTGGGCAAGTGGCTCCAAAAACACTTTTGAAACTCAAATCCCAGCCAGGCCAGGTGGCGCCCACCTGTAATCCCAGCACCTGGGAAGGCCAACGCAGCTGATCTCGAGCTGAGCAGTTTGAGACCACCCTAGGCAGCATGGCAAAACCTCATCTCTACCAGAATAAAAAGGTAGCAGGGCATGGTGGCCCACACCTGTAGTCCCAGCTACTCTGGAGGCTGAGGCGAGAGTCGCTTGAACCCGGGAACAGAGGCTGCAGTGAACTGAGATCGCACTACTGGAGCCAGCCTGGGTGACAGAGTAAGACCCTGTCTCAAAAAAATGGAAAACAAAACCTAAAAACAAATCAGATTCCAGACTGAGTTCGCGCCCAGCATCTTTCCACCTCTTCCTCCTGCAGCTGTGGGAGCAGCAACAACAGCGACCCAACCTGAGGCGGCTCCCTGGCTAATACCCACAGGGCCCTCAGCTGAAGGAGGAGCTCTGCGCCCCAAAGAAGTGTATGTAGGCAGGGAGGGGGTGCAGCCGGCTAGAACCCTGGGAAAGCACCAACGCCCACTCACTGCTTTCCCATTGCAGGCTGTTCCCCCAAGAGTGGAGAGAAATGTGAATACCTTATATGAGTCTGTGCAGGGACCGAGTAGAGATGGTGAGTTGTCTAATGCTAGTTATGCACAATCTTGGTTACCTCACATTTTAGAGCAATAAAAAAGGCAAGGTTTGCAAGTGTAACACATGGAGTAAGTAATCATCTTCCTTTCATAGATTCATGGGAAATACAGGAAGGAGAGGAGCCCTGATGCTCTTGGCTTTGCCTGTCCCTGCTTGGTGTGGACTCACAGCAAGACACGCACGTCTGAAACCAGAAATGTTGATAATTTTCTGATGATAATACGGTTTTTTGGTTTTGTTTTCCTTGTTTTGTTTTGAGAGACAAGGTCTATTGCCCAGGCCAGAGAATAGTGTCGTGATCATAGCTTACTGCATTCTCAAACTCCTATACTCAAGGGATCCTCTTGCCTCAGCCTCCCAAAGCATCGGGATTACAGGCATGAGGCACTGCACCCGGCCTCATTTTATTTATTTATTTATTTACTAATTTATTTATTTATTTGAAACCGGGTCTCACTCTGTCATCCAGGCTAGAGTACAATGGCATGATCTCAGTTCACTGCAACCTCCGCCTCCCAGGTTCGAGTGATTCTCCTGCTTCAGCCTCCCAATCAGCTGGGATGAGAGGCACGTACCACCATGCCCAACTAACTTTTGTATTTTTAGTAGATACTAGGTCCACCACGTTGTCTAGGGTAGTCTCCAACTCCTGGCCTCAAGAGATCCACAAGCCTCCACCTCTCAAAGGGCTGGGATTACTGGCATGAGCCACTATGCCGGGCGGTATTTAGAAAGCAGGACTATGCTAAGAAATATGCAGTCAAATGAAATATCATTTCCTTTTGTTCCTTTTTTCTTTGTTTGAGGCAGGATCTCACTCTGTCATCAGGCCAGAGTGAGGTGACACAATCGGCTTATTGCATCCTCCGCCTTCCAGGTTCAAGCGATTGTCCTGCCTCAGCCTCTTGAGGAGCTGGAATCTCAGTTTCCCAGGTCATAAATACATTTCTTATTCAGTGGCTCTATCACTCTGTCAATCTCTGGCTGACGATTGCAATTTTTCACCTCCCAGATGACGTCAAAATAAAGAAAAACAAAATCGTATTTAGTGCTGATGGACACTAACTCCTAACATCAGTTTAACTCCAGGTGATTGGTTTACACTAATCATGATAATCCCATTCCCCCTGCCAGTGATTGCTTTAGGAAACAGCACAAGTCCCAGTTTTGAAAGGAAGTAAAACCCAAAGGAGGCTTCCCTCGTAGGATGTCTCATTTCTGAAAAGGGACACACAAAATGACTCCTGTCTTCTTTCCTTCTGTGTCCTTATGACGGGATATGTTTCTGGAAACGGCTATGAGTATTTTGCTACCAACCCGAAGAGGAAGCCGACACAAGGTGAACAGAGAGCCCTTGGCATAATATGCCTGTAATGCCTGCTATTGGCAATAATACAGTGCTTTCCTTTGCTGTTGTTGTTGTTGTTTTGAGACAGAGTCTCGCACTGTTGCCCAGGCTGGAGTGAGGAGTGTAGTGGCACAATCTCAGCTGATTGCAACCTCTGCCTCCCAGGTTCAAGCAATGCTCCTGCCTCGGCCCCTCTAGCAGCTGGGATCACAGGCATGCACCACTACGCCCAGCTACTTTTTGTATTTTTAGTAGAGACAGGGTTTCACCATGTTGGCCAGGCTGGTCTCAAACACCTGACCTCAGGTAATGCACCCGCCTCAGCCTCCCAACGTGCTGGGATGACAGGCATGAGCCAGCGCACCTGACCATTTATCTTCTTTTGCCTACTATTGTAGAATGTGCTTCACTCCTTTACAGGTTTCGGCTTGTTTTGTTTCTTGAGATAGGGTCTCCCTCCGTCACCCAGACTGGAGGACGGTGGCTCGAGCTCCACTCACTGCAACCTCTGCCTCCCATGCTCAATCAATCCTCCCACCGCAGCCCCATCTCCCAGCAGATGGGATGACAGTGGCCCACCACGAAACCCGGCTAATTTTTTATTATTTAGGAGAGAGACAGGGATTCACCAAGTTGCCCATGCTGGTCTGAAACTCCTGAACCCCCCTCGGCCACGCAAAGTGCTGGAATTACAAGGATGAGCCACAGTGCCCGGCCATACCACTTGACTTCTCTCAGCATTTTCTCTAAGTGTTTTCTACTGTGAATATGACCTTTCTAACTTACATTTGGTAACTGGCCTTGTAAAAACCATGTAATTAGCACACCTTGTTGGCTTCAAATTATGGTCCAGATTCAACCATCTCCTAACACTACTACCACTCCACTCCGGTCCCAGTCACCATCGTCACTCTCCTAGAGGACTGCAGTTGCCTCATTGTCAGATACGGACGGCCGCAGAAGGGGCGATTTTGAAAAGGAGAGTTCAAATGAGGACAGGTTTAGCTTGCCGTAATTTTTGGCTAGACAGATCCAAATATAGACTTGACAATCCGAATATTCTTCAAGAGATTCAGGAAGCCTTCCTAGTTGATTGAATTCATGGCATGAGGGACTTCAGAAGCCTTTGCTCCCCAGAAACCACCGGCTCCACCCTTACTCCCACCCACAGACTTGGGCATTCAGGGATGTGTTGGCCACCTGGTGTTCACCAGGTTCCCTGGCTGCCTACTTCACCAGGAACTTGGGGTGGGAACACTTTCCATGTCTATCTGGACCCTCCCTCCCACCTTTCCATCCTCCCCGTTTGTCTGCACTTTAAGGTCCAGGAAAACTCGGGGCTAATAAGTTCACCCTAAGAAAAGAGGACAGCACACCAAAGGCTTTGCATCTTAGGTAGCTTATTTTATTGGATTGCTTTGCCAATATAACACTTTCTTAGATTCAGGAGACTTCCCTCAGACACGTGCCTAGAGGCATCAGAGGGACAGGAGTCAGACACAAATTGAAGCTTTCTTCAGTGTCCTTCTTGTCGTTCTCACCAAAAGCAAAACCAAGATTTCTCCTCTCGTCTGCACTTCTCTGGGGAAATCAGTCCTTAATTATGGATAGAGTCAACTCAGAGATGGAATTCCGAGTAGCCAATCACTCGGTAAGGGGAAGGCTGACGAAAGCTAAAACAGATGGTTCCACTTATCCTGGGAGACACAGACAGGTCTCCAGTGTACAGTGGCACGCTAATGGAGGCGACCAGGTCATTGTTGGTCAGGGGCTGGCTCCGCACACGCTCCAGCATCTCGAGACCTGCAAAAAAAGAAAGGTCCAGGGCTGGTGAAGCGAAGCCCATTACTGGGGCCCTTGGCAGGCCGGGACTCCACCAGGGACATTGCAGTGAGGATGTCACCCCAGCCCAGGCCTTCCAAGGCAACCCATTTACACCTCCTGGCTACCTGGCCACAGAAATGAGCCCTTCCTTTCCCAACGGACTCTGGGAAGCACCTGGATTCCCCAGCCACACCAGGGATTCTTCAAGAATCCGAGATGCCACACAACTCAGCCAGAACTCTACCATCGAGCCCCTCCACCACCACAGTTCAGCGGAGGATACCTACCTCGAGCATGACGACAGGGGTCCTGGCTCCCCACGCAACAGAACATGTGCAGCAGCCACTGCCTGGCCCTGCGTGGTCCCACTACAGTCACACGAGTCTGGCCTGTAGCTGTGAACCAGCTCTCCAGCTGGATAAGGGTGCGGCTGTTCATCTCGATGCAGGGAAGGTATGTGTCATTGTGCCCTGTGAGCAGAAGAGGTGAGAGGAGGGAATGTCAGCCACCAGCCCTTGGGGAGTGGGGACGTGGCCTTGGGGGAAAGGAGCCGAGATCTATGAAGGCGGCACAGTAGGGAAACATTGAAACCTGAGAAGACAAGGCTGAAGGAGGGGACGTTAGCAAAGGCCACTCACCGAAGATAAGCTCCTCCTGGTCCGCTTCCATGTGGACCACCATCGGAGCAACAAAGTTTTCAGGCAGGGTCCACCATGGCTGCTCGGTGACAGTTCTTGTTCCCATGTCCATGCTTTCCTCTGACCAGATTCAGAAGAGGAGCAAGTCCAAGCAACCAGTTGGCCGAACACTTGGAAATAGTGAGGAAGGGTCTGGGCTCTGTCCTTAATAAGGGATCCAAATGACCCGCCCCTTGAGCCACCCTAGAGTCGTTGTCCAATCACCATAGCTCTTCCCAACATAATTCATTCCAAGTAATTATCTGCTCTGAGTTGAATCCTTTCATGCCAAACCTAATCATCTGATTAGTTTAGCCTTTCTGATGCCTGGGAATCAAAGGTTGTCTTCAGGCTTAATTCAAAGGAGGTTGGAGCAGATCTGCTGGGGGTGAACCAGGGCAGGCCTTGAGGGACGGAGGTGCAGGGAGGCTCCAAATGGGCTCCCAGATTTGCACAGGCGTCGACAGCCACCCAATGACCACACACTGTATTCCAACAAGACTGGGCTTGTTTGGTGTGCTGCCTCAAGGGAAACAAATAACACAGGAAAATAAGCACATCATAGGGAGCTGATTTTAGGAGTTGGTGAGGGGAGTCTAAGGAGTGTTTAGGGAGTAGGGACTGGTTTTCCTAAATGGGGCCATTTGGTGATGGTCCTGGCCACTTTACCTGGGAGGTACGGGGATTAACGTGGTCTTGATTGCAGACCGTTGAATCTCTCTGGTTTCAAACATAGAGTAAACTTTCTACGTCTTCTTGCAGGACAATCACTGAGCCATCTTGACTGGTTAAGATATTTTGTAGGAGTTGTTTATGTTTGATAGGGAAGATTCAACCATGCCTCTCAGCTCCCAACTGCAAGTTCCTAGGTGCGTTTACACTTATCATCCTCCCCTTTGACCAAAGGCAAAGTCAGCCACCAGGACTTTCATCTGTGAGCTTCAGATCAACACCATTGTCAGAATCCACGGATCATCAGTTTATCGGGACAACATTGCCTGCATCTACACACAGTTGGTCTCTCATGTACATTTTGTGTCAAAATATAATAGTGAAAGTACCCACACAGTAGCATTTAAGACTGTACAGGATGCACTAGTCAGATACAATACCAGTAAGTACGAGGCAAAAATGACCATTAATCCTACTGATAGGCTGCAAAGACAGAAGCCTACATTTCTAATCCAGGCCACGAAATCATGTCCCAAATCCATCTAAATCTGGTCTACAGAGCCAGGTAGATTTGAGACTTCCAGGAGAAATCAGAAAACCTCCCGATTTCCAAAGTTCTCTGATATTTTTCATAATTCAATCACACATCTAGAGTCTGTACAAATATTTGGTTTTACCAGGCCCCTCCATCACAGAAATATTTCATTTTTTCATCTCCTATTTGCTGAGTGAAAGAGAACAATTCAACCACTAGAGCTGATATGGCTTCTTGGAGAAGGTCATATGCTAACCTAAATTCAGACTGGCGATGGCGTAGAATACTTGAAAACATCTACCTGGTTTTTTAAATACGAACTTTAACAAGAAGCATTAACATTATAAAAATGAGGTTCTAAAATATCTGTACAAAGCACGGATAGTTCCCTGAAACAGCTCAAATCATCACGAACACACCCTACTCAAGTAAGAGAGGGAGAGCTGTCATCAGAGTTAAGGAGCCGCTAACAAATGCCCAGGGACTTCCCTTTACCCCATCAAGTACATTATGAGTGTCGCTAATTAATAATTGACAATGGTTAGCTTTCTGTTTTAAAATCAGCGCGTTACCAGTTATATGTCACTGTACAATAAACCGGTGGGTTTTTCTCACTTTAGAAGTACATGTCATTTCTAAAGACCTCAGGTGCAGCGGCTCATGCCTGTAATCCCAACACTTTGCCAGACCAAAGTGAGTGTGGATCACCTGAGGTCCGCAATTCGAGACCAGCCTGGCCAACATGGTGAAACCCTGTCTTTACTGAAACTACAAAAATTAGCCGGGCAGGTGGCACGTGTCTGTCATCTCAGCCGCTCTGGAGGCTCAGGCAGGAGAATGGCTTGAACGCGGGAGGCAGAGGTTGCAGTGAACAGAGACTGTGCCACTGTACTCCAGCCTCGGTGATGGACTGAGACTGCATCTAAAAAAAAATAAGTATCCATTTTATTATAATTAAGCCTGGAAAACAAAACTTTGATTTTGACTTCTCAGTTTTTATGTTATTCTGAGTTTGGTAACCAAAAGAAAACTCATAGTGTGTTTGAGTACTTAAAACTTAGGGAATATCAAGCAAATCTAAATATTTTATTAATTTTTTCTTTAATAAATTAAAAGTACAAATATTTTTATTAACGGTGGTCATTGCAAGGTATTCAGATAGAAGACATCTTAGCACTGAAATGTCCTTTAATGTCATTTTTTAGGAAAAGATATAAGACATCCAAATAGCTTGAAGACTTTGGACTTTGGAGCTGAATTTCATTTAATTAATTATTTATTAATTTCTGTTTGTTAATTAATTTTTTAATTTGCTGGAGACAGAGTCTCACTCTCTTGCCCAAGCTGCAGCGCAGGATCTCTGCTCAAGTTTCCCTCAACTGCCTGGGCTCCAGCAATTCTCCCACCTCAGCCCCCCAAGTAGCTGAGACTGCGGGTGTACACCACCGAAGTCCACTAATTTTTGTGTTTTGTTTTGTTTTGAAACTGAGTTTTGCTCTTGTTGTCCAGGCTGGAGTGCAATGTCGCCATCTTGGCTAACCACAACCCTTGCCTCCCAGGTTTAACCAATTCTCCTGCCTCAGCCTCCCGAGTAGCTGGGATTACAGACACCTGCCAGCTTGCCCAGTTAATTTTTGTATTTTCAGTAGAGAGAGGGTTTTACCCTGTTGTTCAGGCTGGTCTTGAACTCCTGACCTCAGGCCATCCAATCACCTCAGCCTCCCAAAGTGCTGGGATTACAGGTATGAGCCACCTTGCCCAGCCAATTTTTGTATTTTAGGTAGAGACGTGTTTTACCGTGTTAACCAGCCTGGTCTCAAACTTCTGATATCACATGATGTGTCCACCACGGACTCTCAAAGCGTTGGGATTACATGTGCGAGCCACCGCACCCAGCCTGGGACTGAATTTTTGAAAAAAGAAATCAGAAATTACATTTTAGACTAGAGTACTGTTGGTTGAAATGTATGAATTTCGGTTGTATTTTGAAGACAGAGCCATCAGGATTTCTTATTTCTAGATTTTGGGCAAGTGGCTCCAAAAACACTTTTGAAACTCAAATCCCAGCCAGGCCAGGTGGCGCCCACCTGTAATCCCAGCACCTGGGAAGGCCAACGCAGCTGATCTCGAGCTGAGCAGTTTGAGACCACCCTAGGCAGCATGGCAAAACCTCATCTCTACCAGAATAAAAAGGTAGCAGGGCATGGTGGCCCACACCTGTAGTCCCAGCTACTCTGGAGGCTGAGGCGAGAGTCGCTTGAACCCGGGAACAGAGGCTGCAGTGAACTGAGATCGCACTACTGGAGCCAGCCTGGGTGACAGAGTAAGACCCTGTCTCAAAAAAATGGAAAACAAAACCTAAAAACAAATCAGATTCCAGACTGAGTTCGCGCCCAACATCTTTCCACCTCTTCCTCCTGCAGCTGTGGGAGCAGCAACAGCAGCGACCCAACCTGAGGCGGCTCCCTGGCTAATACCCACAGGCCCCTCAGCTGAAGGAGGAGCTCTGCGCCCCAAAGAAGTGTATGTAGGCAGGGAGGGGGTGCAGCCGGCTAGAACCCTGGGAAAGCACCAACGCCCACTCACTGCTTTCCCATTGCAGGCTGTTCCCCCAAGAGTGGAGAGAAATGTGAATACCTTATATGAGTCTGTGCAGGGACCGAGTAGAGATGGTGAGTTGTCTAATGCTAGTTATGCACAATCTTGGTTACCTCACATTTTAGAGCAATAAAAAAGGCAAGGTTTGCAAGTGTAACACATGGAGTAAGTAATCATCTTCCTTTCATAGATTCATGGGAAATACAGGAAGGAGAGGAGCCCTGATGCTCTTGGCTTTGCCTGTCCCTGCTTGGTGTGGACTCACAGCAAGACATGCACGTCTGAAACCAGAAATGTTGATAATTTTCTGATGATAATGGGGTTTTTTGGTTTTGTTTTCCTTGTTTTGTTTTGAGAGACAAGGTCTATTGCCCAGGCCAGAGAATAGTGTCGTGATCGTAGCTTACTGCATTCTCAAACTCCTATACTCAAGGGATCCTCTTGCCTCAGCCTCCCAAAGCATCGGGATTACAGGCATGAGGCACTGCGCCTAGCCTCATTGTAGAGTATTTATTTTTTATTTATTTATTTGAAACCGGGTCTCACTCTGTCACCCAGGCTGGAGTGCAATGGCACGATCTCAGTTCACTGCAACCTCCGCCTCCCAGGTTCGAGTGATTCTCCTGCTTCAGCCTCCCAAGCAGCTGGGACGAGAGGCACGTACCACCATGCCCAACTAACTTTTGTATTTTTAGTAGATGCTAGGTCCACCACGTTGTCTAGGGTAGTCTTCAACTCCTGGCCTCAAGGGATCCACAAGCCTCCACCTCTCAAAGGGCTGGGATTACCGGCATGAGCCACTATTCCGGGCGGTATTTAGAAAGCAGGACTATGCTAAGAAATATGCAGTCAAATGAAATATCATTTCTTTTTGTTCCTTTTTTCTTTGTTTGAGGCAGGATCTCACTCTGTCACCAGGCCAGAGTGAGGTGACACAATCGGCTTATTGCAACCTCCGCCTTCCAGGTTCAAGCGATTGTCCTGCCTCAACCTCTTGAGGAGCTGGAATCTCAGTTTCCCAGGTCATAAATACATTTCTTATTCAGTGGCTCTATCACTCTGTCAATCTCTGGCTGACGATTGCAATTTTTCACCTCCCAGATGACGTCAAAATAAAGAAAAACAAAATCGTATTTAGTGCTGATGGACACTAACTCCTAACATCAGTTTAACTCCAGGTGATTGGTTTACACTAATCATGATAATCCCATTCCCCCTGCCAGTGATTGCTTTAGGAAACAGCACAAGTCCCAGTTTTGAAAGGAAGTAAAACCTAAAGGAGGCTTCCCTCGTAGGATGTCTCATTTCTGAAAAGGGACACACAAAAGGACTCGTGTCTTCTTTCCTTCTGTGTCCTTATGACGGGATATGATTTTGGAAACGGCTCTGAGCGTTTTGCTACCAACCCGAAGAGGAAGCCGACACAAGGTGAACAGAGAGCCCTTGGCATAATATGCCTGTAATGCCTGCTATTGGCAATAATACGGTGCTTTCCTTTGCTGTTGTTGTTGTTGTTTTGAGACAGAGTCTCGCACTGTTGCCCAGGCTGGAGTGAGGAGTGTAGTGGCACAATCTCAGCTGATTGCAACCTCTGCCTCCCAGGTTCAAGCAATGCTCCTGCCTCGGCCCCTCTAGCAGCTGGGATCACAGGCATGCACCACTACGCCCAGCTACTTTTTGTATTTTTAGTAGAGACAGGGTTTCACCATGTTGGCCAGGCTGGTCTCAAACACCTGACCTCAGGTAATGCACCCGCCTCAGCCTCCCAACGTGCTGGGATGACAGGCATGAGCCAGCGCACCTGACCATTTATCTTCTTTTGCCTACTATTGTAGAATGTGCTTCACTCCTTTACAGGTTTCGGCTTGTTTTGTTTCTTGAGATAGGGTCTCCCTCTGTCACCCAGACTGGAGGACGGTGGCTCGAGCTCCACTCACTGCAACCTCTGCCTCCCATGCTCAATCAATCCTCCCACCGCAGCCCCATCTCCCAGCAGATGGGATGACAGTGGCCCACCACGAAACCCGGCTAATTTTTTATTATTTAGGAGAGAGACAGGGATTCACCAAGTTGCCCATGCTGGTCTGAAACTCCTGAACCCTCCTCGGCCACCCAAAGTGCTGGAATTACAAGGATGAGCCACAGTGCCCGGCCACTACCACTTGACTTCTCTCAGCATTTTCTCTAAGTGTTTTCTACTGTGAATATGACCTTTCTAACTTACATTTGGTAACTGGCCTTGTAAAAACCATGTAATTAGCATACCTTGTTGGCTTCAAATTATGGTCCAGATTCAACCATCTCCTAACACTACTACCACTCCACTCCGGTCCCAGTCACCATCGTCACTCTCCTAGAGGACTGCAGTTGCCTCATTGTCAGATACGGACGGCCGCAGAAGGGGCGATTTTGAAAAGGAGAGTTCAAATGAGGACAGATTTAGCTTGCCGTAATTTTTGGCTAGACAGATCCAAATATAGACTTGACAATCCGAATATTCTTCAAGAGATTCAGGAAGCCTTCCTAGTTGATTGAATTCATGGCATGAGGGACTTCAGAAGCCTTTGCTCCCCAGAAACCACCGGCTCCACCCTTACTCCCACCCACAGACTTGGGCATTCAGGGATGTGTTGGCCACCTGGTGTT